AATTGAGACTAAAAGAGTATTATTTAATATGATATAAGTGGTGGAGAGCACATTTTATGAAAAAGAATTAACATATACTCTTTTCATCATAAAAGTATAATCTTGTTGGGTACGAGATTTAAGGAATATTGATATTATATTAGTAATTAGTAAAAAATAAAAATAAATAATTTTTTTGTCCCTATGAGTATATTAGCGTAAAAAATAGTAGTAATTGTGTAATAATAATAAAAAAATAAAAATAGTTTTATGGTGATATGATTATTTATGAAAATGATATTATTGTTTTGGGATGAACAAAAATGGTAAACAAGACTATTGCATTAAGACGGAATTATCTCAGCACATTTTATGCATAAGAATTAACATATAGTATACATTATCACAGAAATAACATATAGTATAAACAAAAATAATATATAAAATGTTCAAACTCCCGCATCAGGATATTAGATTCGGCCGGAGATTTACCCAGTGAGCATTTTTCGGGTAGCAGCTGCGGATTTTCACGTCATAAAAAAAAAAGCTTTATGTTGTATAATGTAGGTTGCTTGTTTTATGTTTATACTCCCTCCGTCTCAAATATTGTACAATATTTGTGTTCAGCACAAAAATTAGATGGACATTATTAAGTATGATAATTTGGATATTAAGTGATGTTATTGGAGAGAGAAATGATTATTTGTTTTTTTTATTTGAGTGATGTGATAAAATAAAGTGAAGTATATATTAATATATATGTATATAAATATTATTAATTATTTTTAAATTTGAAAATACTTCAATGAGTTTAGGACAAAAAAAATATATATATATTGCAGAGATATACATAATATGTTGATTGTAGGCTGTTTTAGTTTTTAGGTTTTGATTGATATTATCTGTAAATAGTCTGATGTGATATAAATGAATTTAAATAGTTGTATGATGTGATATAAATATGTGTTGATGCAATGTTTTAAATATAAAATTATTTTTTAGTATAATATATAAAATAAAAAAATAGGTATTTAATTTGATATTTTGAAGAAGATAAATTCTTTATGAGTACTAGACTTTAGGTAAAATTCTATAAAATAACTCACCTGTATGAGATTTATTTAGGATATATGTTGGAGTTGGAGGCTGAACTGAATTAACAATTATTTTGTATTACAATTTTATTGCTGTCTCTTATGTGTTATAAGTGTTTAATTCTGTAATTTTGTTTTGAATAAATTTGGGGCCAACACAATATGCAACATATATTATATATTACAGTAAAAAATAATATAATTTAAAGTTGATTTCACCGTACTCTTCCTTCGTCCCTTAATAATCTATTTATTTTTTTTTTTTATTTTGGTCTGTCTCGTAACAAAGTAGTCATTTGTTGTTTTCAGTAATTGTACTATCTACCTAACATTACAAATATCCTTCCAATTTACAATATATTACACAAATGTCATTACATTTATATCATACGATACTAATAGAGTTAATTTAGTCTTTTTATTTTTATTTCTACTTTATTTCAATATAATACTAATGTTTCTAAAACTCCGTGCAAAAAGCTAATAAATATATAAATATGTGACGAATTGAGCATATTAAGTATGCCATTAAATACATTCCTACGCCACATTAAGTACATTCTTATAGTACAATTAAATATTTTTATTTAATAAATATATTAAATAAACAATAAACTAATTAGGAGCTCGTTATATATTTATGTTATATACAAAATATTTATATATATTATTTTATTTTCATGTACCAGACAAAGTTAATATTAATACTATTATTATTGATATTTTGTATTTAAAATTGTTAGAAATTTTATTCTATTCAATTATTTATATTTTATTATAGATAAAATATATATTATTTATAAATATTTAGACTACCATAATTTTTGTTTTAAAATTGTTTAGATAAAATTAATATTAATATTATTATTGATATTTTATATAAAAATGCTAAAAAAATTATTTTATTTAATTATTTATATTATATTATAGGTAAAAAGAAAAAAGAAGTATATCATTTATATATATTTAGGGGTCTTTAATTTCTTTTTTTATTTTTTTGCATTAAAAAGGAAATAAGTATTAAACAAAATTATTATTATTATTAGGCAAAATTGTCAATAATTCTCTTGTTATTTCGAAACTCAACATAAATTGTTTTTTAATTTAAAAATTGTATGATGCCCTTTTATATTTTTTTAAAAAAAATAAAAATGTTGCATGAAACTCCTTATTATATATTTTTGGATAATGAGAAGTTTTTTCATCTATATATATATTTTTTTTCATTCCGTGAATTTCATATGACGTTTATTAAAGTATAAAGGACACCACACAATTTTTAAAGTATATGAAAAATTTATGTTAAAATTTCAAAATTACATGACAATTATAGACAATCTTGCCTTATTATTATTATTGATATTTTTTGCATAAAAATACTAAATGTCATTTTTTTTATTATTTATATTTTATTATTGATAAAAAATATTTATAGATGTATATATATATATATTTAAAAGCTCTTAATTTTTATTTCGTCCCGGACCCTTCTGCTCTTAATTTTTATGCCCTGGGCCCTTTTGCTCTTAATTTTTATTTCGCCTCGAGTCCTTTGAAAGACAAGATCAATCTTGTCATCATGCATTCGTTCTTTTCTTTTTTATCTTGGCTGAATTTTGTGCAGAATCTTTATAAGAATGGGACAGGGCGAAATTGTTTTCCTCAACTACCAAGTTTTTGACAAATTTATTAGTATGTACAAAACGATCAATTTCCATTTTGTGGTAGTTTATAGCATCTAATTTGTTTTGATTTGATATTTATTTTTTTAAAAATAAATAAATTAAATATTAAGAATCTTGTCAAAATTTCACAAAAGATAATAGCCTAAATACTAGCTTACCTTGCCCATGTTGTCACAACGCATAAATTAAAGTGCATCAAGTGTCTTTGTTCGGGTGTTTGGATTTTGAGTTGAGATTTGAATAGTAAAAATTTTGAATTTGAATAGTTGTATAATGTGATATAAATAGTTATTGATGTGATGTTTTGAATGTAAAATTGATTTTTACTGTAATATAAAAAATAAAAAATAGGTGTTTGATTTTATATTTTTTGAAAAAAAAAAATGGGATGAATAATATATTTAAAATCCAATCCCCGGAACAAACACACCCTAAAAGGAATAGGATGAGAGAGTAGATAGAATTTTACACGATTTGTTTGGCATTCCGTCATTGATTACGCAAATATGGTTGTGTTTTGATGATTATGGACATATTCGGTTCAAATTAGATGTTATATCTATTTTTTGTTATAGTATAATCAAAATTAATTAAAATTATTAATAAAGGTATTAAAATTGATAATTATTTTATTTTATTTTATTTTATTTAAACTAAAATTGATAATTTTATTTCCAGTGGGATCAATTTCTAAATTTTTTTTCTAATTAAAATATAATAATTTTATTTATTTTCATATAACTTATAATTACTTTAAAAATAAATAAATAAAATAGATGGACTAAAATAAAATAATACTCTAATAATAATTTGGTGGAAGAAGTAATAATTATTATTTGTTGGTGAGGATTAATTATGTCATTTGTTTGGATAGAAAAAAAAAAATAATAATAATATTTTAATATAAAATTGAGTCAAGTAAAAATTAAAGTAAAATTATTATACTCTCTTCTCTTTGTTTCAATGTAATGGTGTCATTTACGTTTGAATTTTGATATTTGAATATTAATGATTATATTAATTCAAATTAGATACAATTGTTAAAATATATTTAGAAATAATATATTATATTTATTATAGTTATTTTATTTAAGAGACTCGTGAAATTCTTGGTTTATTTAGAAATGTGTATATTCTTATAATTTCAATTTCATATTCTAACATGATATCAGAGCCAAATTCTCTCCGGGTATCTCCATAACTCATTATATCCCATATATATTTTATTAATATATTTGTTTCTATCCACAATCATGTTGTTATTTTAATATCGTCTCCGTCTCTACTACTCCACTAACAGAGTCTACTTTCGACTCTTACGCCGTTGAGAGTCCTGTTTTCGACTCTAACTCTATAAAGTGAGCGAGTCCTGTTTTCGGCTCTAGTTCCGTTGTGAGCGAGCGAGTCCTGTTCCAACTCTAGCTCTATAGAGTGAGCGACTCCTGTTTTCGGCTCTATTTCCGCTGTGAAAGAGCGAGTTCTGTTTCCAACTTTAACGATGTTGAGGGTTCTGCTTTTGACTTTGATCTAGTGGACGGTTACATCACTTTCAGTCAATCTTGGCGAATTTAAATTTGTACGCGGAAGATCTCAGCTATATCTTTTTCGGTCACTTCTGACAAACTCAAGTTTGTTCTATCATATCTTGAGTTTGAGGATGCGTGTTCAAATATATTTAGAAGTAATATATTATATTTATGGTAATTATCTTATTTAAGATATTCGTAAAATTTTTGTCTTATTTAGACGATTTGTATATTATGTATTCTTATTATTGAATTCAGTTTTATATTCTAACAACAATGACATTTGTAAAGTAAATTATTCAAATATAAAAATATTTTTAATATAAGTACAATGATGAAAAATTAGATGACAACATTCCAATGAGACGAAAAAAATATAAAATTTATTAAAAAATAGATTATATATGAAATTTATTAATGATTTAAAAAACAAAAAGTATTATGATTAATAGAAAAAATGATAACTTAATTATTATTTATTAAAATCAAAATAGTAACATTAAATTAAAAATCAATTATGCATAACATTAAAAAAAAATAAAATGTGAAGACAATAAATAAATAAAATAAAATAAAAATAAAAGGTGATAGGCAAACTCCCTGTCCTTTTCCTCCATAATTTAACAACAAAAATAAAAATATCCCTCCCTCCATATCCGTAGAGGAGCTCCATCTCCATGATCCTCACCCTCGTCATCGATCAACGACCTAACCCCAACCCAACCAAAAACCATATAAATAGGTCGTCGTCGTCCTGCATTCTGGAAACGGCGTCGTTTTACAGCGCCAGCCCCAAAGCGTATCGAAGCCATCTTGTGGATAGCACAGACTGACAGCACAGACAGCACCCGCCAGCAATCAAAATCTGTGGCTGTGGGCAAAACCCCGTAGTCACATTCCGTCGCCTTCCAAATTCCAATTCCCCAATCCAAACAAACCTCTCTCTCTCTCGCTCCCTATTTCATTATTTCTTTGATTTCCATCCATTTTACTCATCAATGGCTTCCTCGCTGCTCAGCGGCGCCGAAAATCTCAAATCGAGCTTCCCAGCCTCGGAATTCCTCGCCAAGCAGTGGCTCCCAACCAGAAACCGCGTCAATTTCAGTTTCCGCCGCCATGATTCCAGGAAATTCCGATTCACCCCCAAGTCGAGCTTATCGTCGTCGCCGGCGGCGCGGCCGGCTTCTCAGCCGCGATTCATACAGCACAAGAAAGAGGCGTTTTGGTTCTACAGATTCCTGTCCATCGTGTACGACAATCTGATAAATCCGCTGCACTGGACGGCGGAGATGAGGGACGAGGCGCTGAAGCCGGCGGAGCTGTTCAGCAGGCTTTTGGTAGTGGTGGATGTTGGAGGGGGCACGGGGTTCACTACTCAAGGAATTGTGAAGACCGTGGATGCGAAGAACGTCACCATTTTAGATCAGTCGCCGCATCAGCTTGAGAAAGCTAAGCAGAAGGAGGAATTGAAGGATTGCAGGATCATTGAAGGAGATGCAGAGGATCTTCCATTTCCTACTGATTATGCTGATCGATATATCTCTGCTGGAAGGTATAATTTCTGCCTTCATTTGTTGTTGTTTTTTCTTGGTTTAGAACATCAAATGAATACCAAATTCATGTGATTTTTCTGATGAATTGAATGAAGCTCGTGAATATGGCCATGGAACGTCTGTTTAGAAAATTAATTAACAGAAACTTTGAACAGATGCAAAGGAATTGTAGTAAATGTTTGATATGAATTTTCTGTTGAATTGAAGCTCATGGCTATGGCTATTGAATTTGAATGTCTGTTGAATTACTGAAAAAGCGACGAACATTATCTCGGTTTTAGTCTCATCATTCGATCATAATTGTTGAGTGTTTTCGGATACACTTTTTTCTTTGCTAATGACATTAGAGATGAAATTACGTTAGGTATGTGAACTTTAAGGATGAAATTTCATTACAAATATACTACTCCTTCTGTCATCCAAACTTATTCTCACATTACTTTTTTTTGTTGTCATTCAAAATTATTCTCGTTTATTTTTTTAGTAAAATAATATCATTTTTTTTACCTTTTTATTTTTATCTATTTTTCTTAAAACTCGGTTCCAGTCAAATGGACATATTTTTACATGACGGAGGGAGTATTTCTTTGTAGTGAATCTAGCTGTAGGAGCGAATTATAGCTTTCGAATTGCTTTGGCTTCTTTAACATGATGCTATTTTGATTCGATTTGTTTAAAAGATGAAATTTAAGGTCTTTAGCATAACTCGAATACGTTTATAGTTTTAAAAAGTCGGGTTCGATTGTGCAAATGTTGTGTTTCCTGTAGCATTGAGTATTGGCCGGATCCACAGCGAGGCATCAAAGAAGCGTACCGAGTGCTAAGAACAGGGGGAAAGGCGTGCATCATTGGTCCTGTTTATCCGACCTTTTGGCTGTCTCGATTCTTCGCGGACATGTGGATGCTCTTCCCCAAGGAAGAAGAGTACATCGAATGGTTTAAGAAAGCTGGCTTCAAAGAGGTCGAATTGAAGAGGATCGGACCAAAGTGGTACCGTGGAGTGCGTCGACATGGACTCATCATGGGTTGCTCAGTGACCGGTGTTAAGCGACGATCGGGCGATTCTCCGCTTCAGGTAAAATTTTATAAGTTAGTATGAAAATACGTCGTAATTTATATATTATATAGTCTCTGATACGAAAATACACCATTAATTACATATTATATACTCTCTAATAGGAAAATACATTATTAATTACATACTATAATCTCTAATAGGAAAATTCATCATTTATTACATACTATAGTCTCTAATAGGAAAATTCATCATTTATTACATACTCCCTCCTCCCGACTATAGTGTTCACTTTACCGTGTATAATTAGTAAATAATTAATAATTTTGAGTGAAAATAATTATAAATAATTAGTCTAATTAAAATTTAAAAAAATTATAAATCAAAAAATTTATAATAAAATTAAAGTGAATAGACGAAAATGGAAAGGTGGATAATGTAAGTAGGACAAAAGGATATATTATATAGTCTCTACTAGAAAGTGATAATTAATTAAATATTAAATAGTTTCTATTAGAAAAGCACATTATTAATTACATATTACTATCTCCGGCTCTAAAAGTCTCTTTTACTTTTTGCGTGTTGATATTTGAATACTAATTATTATATCAAAACATAATGCAAATTAAGAAAAAATTGAAAAAATACTTCAATTAGTATCTTACAATACTAATAGAAGGACATTTGTACACAAAATTATAGAAATATAAGGATATTTTTAATGTTAAATATAATAACGCAAAATAGATAAATATGACCTTAGAGGTCGACAAAATGAATATATAGTATCTACCCATAAATGCATTATTAATTATATACTATTAAATAATTTTTACTAGAAAAATGCATAACTAATTATATAGTCCCTTTGTCCGAGTCAAAGATATTCATTTTGACAGTTTTGTCTGCTCAACTCAAAAGTATCAGGTGTTATTTTTTTTAGTAAAAATACATCTCAACTAAATATTAAATAATTCATACTTTTCATACCCCCTTCTTTTAAGCCCACTAATATCAAGGGTAAATTAAATTTTATATTCTTCTATTATATTACACATTTATAAAATATTAATATATTACTCTGACTTAAGGAGTATTGTATAATCTCTATTGGAAAAATGCATTATATTAATTACATATTAAATAGTCTCTACTATAAAAATACATATTATTAGCTGCATATTATGTAGTTTTTTAATACAACTAACCATATGAATTTTGCACTGTGATAATTTTTTTTTTTTTTTTTAATACGAAGGAGGGCGGTGGGGACTCCTGTTCTAATAATATGTTAAATAACTATCTAATTCAAAAGTACAGATTTTTAAGTGAAATAGTCATATTTAAGCAGTTTGATAATTTTCAATTTAATTTTGACCGTTGTTGAGCATGTGAGAATAGTCTTATAAGCATAAACGACAATCAAGTTCATATCACGATTAAGTGGTAGATTTTATCGAGAAAAAATGTCTTTGAAAGTTATATGAAGCTAAGACTAGAGATTTTGTGTGCAGCTCGGTCCGAAGACGGAGGATGTGAAGAAACCGGTGAACCCGTTTAGCTTCTTGGCGCGGTTCATCCTCGGAGTGGTGGCGTCAACTTATTTCGTGCTCGTACCGATCTACATGTGGCTCAAGGATAAAATTGTTCCCAAAGGTATGCCTATCTAAGCCAAGTTAGTTAGTTACAAGAAGATGATATGAGATTGATCTATGTTTTAAGCTTTAATTTGATGATGGATCATATCTCTCTCTCCTCTCTCTCTCCTCTCTCTAGCAGCATTCTAGCAGCATTCGATATTGTAATATAGGAGAACTCCTTTTTGGTAAATGGTAACTTTCAAATTTTATGTTTGTGATGATAACAAACTACAATTTCATTGTTAAGGGTCTGTTTGGTTGTAGTTTTGAAATTACAGGTTGATTTGAGTTTTTGTTTAAATAGTATTGTGATAAGATGTTTTATATATATAAAAAAAAAGTATGTATTTTTATAAAAAATTATGTGAAATAAATAATATTTATTTCAGTTTATAATCACGATAAAATAAAATAACTCCTACTAGCCAACTTTTTTAGATTGGTTGAAGAAAATTTCAAAAAAATTTAATATTCTTTTAAAAATTTAAAAATTTCAAAACTTCACTATGACCTTAGTTAGTTTTACCTAAATCGGAATATAATAGGATTGGATGAAGGCTGGGCTAAAAAATCTCATTTGAGTTTATATACAAATTTTAATAAATATAATAAAATATTAGTTTATTGTAATATAAAATTAAGTACTTTAAAAACATGACTGTTTTATATACTAATAATTAATATAATATATAATTATATACTTATTTAAATATGTAAGTAAAAATTGTATTATTAAAAAATTAAGGTGAAAAACAACGATAAAAATAAGATTTGAATATTTCAAAAATAAAAATAAGTCACTTTTGCAGAACATGTGACAATAAAAATATTATTAAAATATACTAAAGTAAAATCATATAAAATTATTTATATCCAATAATAAGAAAAAAAAAAAAAAAATACTCATAATAATTGATATATACTCAAAAATGATAAAATTAAATATAAAAAAAAAAAATCAAAAGCAATATAATAAAAAATATTTTATAAACTTAAAACTAAAATAAAAAAAAAAATACATACACATAATTGTTCAACTTTGATCTCTATATCATCTTCTGGATTGTCATCTTTGTCCTATTTTCTCTTCTGTATATCTAAAAATTGTAAAAAATATTATAATTCGTCCATATTACACATGTATATATAGGAAAATGATGTGTGGTTAATAATTGACCAACAATTACAGACGTCATACATATATATATATATATATTACAATAAGATGCATCTATATCTAGGGATGAGCAAAATATTCGAAATTTGAAAATTCAATCCGAACCAAATCGAAATTTAAAATTTGGTTCAGATTTTTCAGATTCTCGGATTGGATCGGATTGAATTTTTAACAAATTTTGGATTTTTGGATCGGATCGGATCGGTATACTTAAAATGCGAACCAATCCAAAATATAACATTTTTATATATTTTTTTATTATACATATTTATATTTTATTAGAAAATATTATATTTTAATATAAAAAAATCAAATTTATTAATTATATTTTAATATATTTTAATTTTTATATATTATATATTTAATATTATAAGATAATAATAAAATATAAAATAAAATTTGAAATTAAAAAAAATAATAAAATATTTAAAATTTCGGATTTTTTGGTTTGGTTCAAATTTTTTAGTTCAGATTACGGATTTTTGGATTTCGGTTATTTGGTTCTGTTCGGATTGGTTTTTTCAAAAATTTCGGATTTTTGAATCGGTTCAGATTTGGTAAAATCCGAACCGAAAATTCGAATGCGTGTATTAATAACACTTCTTCTTGGATGAATTTATACAAAAATATATCTCGTTAAAATTTTATTAAAAAAAATTATAGTGAATGAAAAATGGTACATCCTTATTGCACTTTATTCGATATCTTTGATCGTATGAAAAATGGTACATCATAATTGATTGAAAAAGGGTAATCATTAATGGAATAATTTTTATTTAAAAGTAAATCATAATAAAAATTACTAATAAAATTATATTTTATCTTATATTATTTCTAGTAATAAAAGAAATATAAAAGAGATATAGTTAATCTATACACAAATCATATTAGTATATATATATATATAAAAGATATATGATTGCAATATTATTACTATTATATTTTTATTTAATTTTTTTGAAATTTTAAATTTTTTATGATTAGTTTAGAACTCTTTATATGTATGATATATTTATATTTATTTTTTTATTGTTAAAAATAATATGAAATAAAATATAATTTTATAAAAAATTTTATTATAATTTACTTTTATAATAATTAAGAAAGAGAAATAAAAATCAAATAATTATTAATATTACATTTATTAAAGAACACATCAAATTTTTTGAAAACCAAAAATTTATAAAATCTACATTAAAACTATCAATATCATCCAAAAATTTAAAAATAAATTCAAAATTGTTATAAATATGTATGAAATATTTTTTAATATTTTATAAAACTAGCAATAAAATATCCAACAAATATAAATTTATATTTTAGATTAAAAAGATAAAAAAAAATTATATTAAATTACAATAGGAAGAAGATAATGAACAAAAAAAAAATTATATAAAAAAATAAGAACGAAAATATATATAATATATATACACAGTTAAAAAGAAAATTCCCAAAACTCTTTCATTGTAGATTTAAGGAGTTTCGAGAACTCTTTAAAATGTTGTTAGAAATTGTGAAATAATTTACTACAAAAAAAGAGTTCTGAGAACTCCTTAATATGTCAAAATTAAGTAATTTTGATAACTTATTTAAGGTCAATTTTTTTCAAAAAGTTATTGACTTAGGACATTTATTTAAAAAACATAGTATACTAACACATTATTTTCACAGTACCAATATATTGCTTTCTCGTTCGATAAAAAGAAAAATAAATAATAAATAAACAAACAAACATATATGAGCAATATACATATTTTCGCGACCATAAATATTATTTCTGTTATTCAAATTTATATTCTTTATTTCTATGGTCAAAATAAATAAAAATGTATTTGTTTTTAAGATTTTAATTTTGAATTTTGATTTTGAATAGTTGTTTAATGTGTAATAAAAATATATTTTGTGTAATTATTTTTATTGTAAAATTAAATTTTATTGTAATATAATAAATAAAAAATTATTATTTTATAATAATGCAAAACAAAAGCTAAATAAATAAAGAGTTTGTTCACTTTAATTTTTTTGTTTTATTTTATTTTATTTTTTATCCATACACCATGCCAAGAGAAGGTTCAACCGTTTTAACTAATGAGCTACTCACGGTTTGTAGTAATATACACTATTATATTTGTCTGTCAAAATTATATCATTTTTTTTTTATTGCAATCATTGATAGTAAAAAAAAATTATTCGTTCACAATTTTAGTATCTTTACTTCAATAAATAATACTCCATTCGTCTCAATCCAAAGAGGTAATTTGTAATTTTGTAATATATTAAAAAATAATATTAATTGTGAACAAAAAATTGTGTTATTTTTAATAAATACAAATTTTTTATAAATTATATTTAATTTATATATATATGGGTCCTATTCTCTATTCGGATCTTTTGATTCTCTTTCCGGATCGATCTATTTTTCCAACTTGGATTTGGATGGCTTCTTTGATCCGAAAGGTCTTGGTCTTCGGTTTAGCTTTGCCGGCTTTTGGAGAGCTTTGATATCCGTGTTGGCAATTTTGATCGTTGATTTTGGATTTATGTCTCATTTGGATGATCCGACGGTGCGTGTCCCTTTGACTTTTGGATCGAAGAGGACCGAGTTTGCGCCTTTGATGAAGAACGCGATGCACATCTTGAAGCTTTGGGAGCGACTTCGGAGGCTCTTCCTTGGCTTTGATGGATTCCTCGATGGCTTTGGGAGCTTTGATCCTTCCTCCGGCTCGGACATACGACGAAGAAAGTTAACTCCATTTATTCGTCAATCAATATTAAATTATTTGTCCAAATCAGTGACTTTTCGACGAAGAACGCTTCGAATGACACGAAGAACAATAAAGAACATGCAGAGAGTCTAAAAAGATTTACTCTTGCGCGAGTCTTCAAATGAACTTTGGTGTGTAATGAATTGGCCAAGGCTCCTATTTATAGGGATGATGGCATTGGATTCCTATTCGGATGGTGCCACGTGGCGCGTCCTGATTGGCCAATAGAAAGATTTTATAATCTTTCCTTTTCTATCCGATGTCGTTTTCCATTATTGACGGATTTGATTGTGCACCTCCATTTCTCTTCAAAATCTTTACATCATTGTCTTTTTTGGAAGATATTAATTTATATACTTCTTTTATTGACAAGATCTTTATATCATTGCCTTGTTTGGAAGATATTAATTTATATACTTCCTTTATTGACAAGATTAATTTATTTTGCTGCCAAATTTATTATGGCTCTATTTATGCACGTAATATTTGTACGATATCTTCCATTTTAAGCAGATTTTTGCATTAATGATTTATATTTATTGTACAAAAATTAACATATGTGCATAATTAAATACCATATATTTATATCAGTGAAATTTTATTTTATTCCAAAATATATGATATTTAATTTAATTTAGATATTTAATTTTTAATGCTTACACTAATATTTATCCGTGGGTGAAAGTGAATAAAATAATTTTGACATTCTTTATGTATAAGTTAGGTGTATGTATAATAACATATCATATTCTATATCCTATATATATAACTATAGCACAAGTATATGGACCCCATATCTCAAATTCCTGACTTCTCAATTTTTTGAGTTTATAAATTATTTTTTTTAATTTATAAGTTTTTTTTAGGAAAAACAAAAACTAAAATTTTGTAACAGTAATTTTTGTTTTGAAATTAGTGTTTAATAGTTTTGTAATAATGGGGTAGTTGTGGGTTTTAGATTTAATTTTTAATATGACAAAATTGTTTTTATTTTCAAATTTAATTAATATAAATTTTTATAGAAGAAGAAGATCACGCGGGAGACAAATTTGCACCGAAGAAGAAGACCATAGGCCTCCCAAAAGGTAACGGAGGCGTGCAAAGGTTAATATATCTCATTTGTTTTTCCATATTCTTCGTCAATCAATTTTAAATTTGTTTGAGTTTTTCTCTTTAGTCTCTGATTTTTTTTTTATCTTTTTTTTTTTTCTATTCACTAAATTATTTTTTACTGGCTTTTTTTTTTTTATACAGTATAAATTTTGTATATCGTGGACGTTTGAAAAAGAATGTGAAATCCACAA